GTTTATATGGAACCTTTATTAGCATCTGCACAAGTTAACTATTCAGAAAATAACAAGCCACGAGACCCAGCAGGTAACGTATTGTTATACAGTTAACACCAATAGGTATATAAAGGAAATAGAGTTGTGTTTGGAGAAGTCTACTAAACATTATATTTAGAGGACAGCAATGCTTGTGAAGTAAATAGAAGGAAACAAAATAAAAAGAAAATATAAAAGGGAAGAGGATAGCTTCCTTGAACAAAAGGACTGCTATTCCCCAGCTAGCATCTCTAAGTAGAGAGTCAATGAGGGCACGACGCCTTCCACCGCATGTAGAAATAGATGAGGGAAGGCTGAGGCCAACAGAAAGGAAAGATGAAAAGAGAGAGAGAGAAAGAAAGAAAAAGAAAGGGAGGGGGGAGTTTTGGGAGGAAGGGAAAATCTGGAAGGTTGAATAACATGGGAAACCCTAGCACCCTGAAACTCATCATATATTTTTAACCGAAGGGGGTTAGACATTGAAATAAAAATGTTTTGAAAAGAAAAAAATCAAGTAATGTCACACATGTATGCAAAGACTTAGATAGAGAAAGAGGACTGTAATATAGATACACTAGGGGCTATCACTTCAGTATACTCTACTGTGGCTTGATATTGAAGCCAACATGCCCAGGTCTTGTAGAAGGTGGAATATCTGTCATGGGTAATGTGGATAAGCTCTTCCAGTTCTGCTGTCCTGTTTATTTTTGTGAACCACTCCCTAGTGGTGGGGATACTTTTTTGCTTAAAGTATCGTGGAATACACATGAGGTAATCATATGCATTGCCAGTGATTTGTGGAATTTGCGGCCTAACAAAGTAGAATGGTGAAGCAAGTATTGGGCAGGTGTAAAATCCAAATTGTCTGAAGAGACTCTCAAGGTTATGGCACGAACTTTTTCCCAATACGGTTTCACGCTTGGACAGTCCCAGCAAAGATGTAACATTTCTGTACCATCTTGAGTAGACCTTAATGTTGTGTTCTTGTATGGAGACATTGATAGGTTCTTTATGAATGGATGATTGTATTTAATTACATTGCTTGTTTGAGAGACAAACACCCAAGTTGACTTCCCAATTTGGAATATATCTTTGTCAGTCAAGAGAAGAGTTATCAAGCAAGAGAGAGTAAACACAGAGAAAATCAGATGTCAACATGGAACCCAAGAAAGACATAAGGATTCAAAAGGTTTGGGGAGATGACTATAATCTTAACAAAAAGATGAGTTTGTCAGGAAGTGTTTCAGCTGAAAGTAGGACCACCAAGGAAATTAGGGGGGCAAATCCTGGGTCTGTAAGTTTTCTTGGGTGCAAAAAAAGGCTTTCTTAAAAACACCACCAGCTCTCAAGCAGTTTGCTTTGTGTACTTGAAAAGATGGTTCCTGACCTGGAGGGAAGGGTCGAATAACACTGGAGTCAAGTCCTGGAACCAAGGAGCATGTTTTGTCTTTACATAACTCAATATGGCAAATGAGGGGTGGGCTAACCAAAGGATGGTTAGTGAAATGGTTAATGTTAGTACTTTTTGGGATCCAAGGGCCCAGTGTTAGGAAGCCTCCAGTTATATCTTGCTCCAGCTGTACCCAAGTTTTGGTTGAGACATGAATGTGCTAGTCAATAAATTTAGTCAAAAAACAAGCTCTGTAATAAGCCTTAATGTCTGGAAGGCTGTCTGTCAACTTTGAAAGTGAAAGTTGAGAGACTAGGCCTCGGGGGAGAGCCTTTCCAGATAGTAGAAAAAAGGTTCCTAAGTTCAGAAAAAAAAGGCGTTGGAGAGTTTTAAAGGAATAGTCTGCATGAAATATAGGCATTGTGGGAGCACTGTCATTTTCAAAACTGCAGACATTTATCTTGGTTTGGCAGAGCAGCAATCTTAAAAGTTCTAGTAGGTGTAGATATTCCAACAATGTCTGGATCAGCCCTAAGCTGTTGTAAGAAAGGTTCCAATGTCAAGATAAAAATAATAGGGGACAGTGGACACCCTTGCTGTGTTCCATTGAAGATGGAGAAGGCCCTCGACAGATACCCAATAATTCTAATTGAAGCAGAATGGTTGGAATATAGAGAACCAATGTAGGATCGCATAATGGGGCCAGTCCCAGTGTTTTAAGGACGGCATGCATGTAGTCCCAGGCCACTGTGTCGAATGCCTTATCCACATCCATTGACAAAAAGAAGCCTGGGGAAGTGGTGACTTAAGCCTATGAATACGATTCAATGCTTTAATGGTATTGTATCTACCTTCACTGCCTGGGACAAAATGCACCTGGTCAAGGGCAATCCAAGAATGGTACTAAATGGCTGGCCAATATCTTCGCAAAGGATTTATATCTACATTCAAAAGGGATTGTTTGGAACTTGAGCGGGGTCTTTGCCCTGTTTGTGAATTGCTGTAATATGTGCTTCTAAAGGTTGGGTAGGGGGTGAGGAGGCTTCTGTCAGAATGTTAAAAGCCCTCTGAAAGTAAGGGAGAAGAAGGTCAGTGTCGCTTTATAATATTGTGTAGTAAGACCATCAGGTCCAGAACATTTCCCTGGTTTCATAGATTTGAGCGCCTTTACCTTGGCTGTCAACGGTGTGTGTCTAAGCTTTACATAACAGATGGGGATATGGTAGGCATGCCAGAGAGTGAGAGATGATTTTGTATGGCTGTCGATCGGTCTATAAATGAGAAGGTGGGCTCTTTATTTAGTCGGACACCCTGATTATATGAATTGTGGATTTTGCTTTTCCTTGTGCAATGCTTTAACCAATAAGTGGCCAGTTTTATTAGAATGCTCATAGAAGTTATGAACGGATTGTATCTTTTGAATCCGGCAGTCCTGGGTAAAGGCATCTAGAGTAGCAAGGGCCTTATTGTGTTTATGTGACTGTTCCAAGGAACAAATGTGGGTTGTCAATTTATCTAGGGAAGCTTGCTTCTCTCTCCTCAGCTTCATAGAAAGGGCGATACAATGGAATCAAGGCGGCTAGACATCTGCTCCTTTTTTCCTTCAACCTATCATTCACCCCTGGCAGTTCTTTCTTCAGGTCTGATACTGAATTGGCTAGAGCATTTTTAATATCACCTGAGATGGTGTGCAGATCAGACATCTTTGAAACCTGTTGAATCAGGGACACCATCTTGGGCCACGGTTGTGAAAATGAACCGCTAGCTGAGCACAAGGCCAAGTCACTTGTCTGGTAGGAGGGAGAAGAGGCCAGTGTCTCCACTAGCTGTGTGCAAAATATCTCATATTATGCCCTAGTTGTGAGTGAGGGGTTTTCGTAAAGGGAAGGGAGCGATCTACTTTGCGCATGTTGCCACCAATCACCACAAAATGTTCTCTTCTCTGAACATTGAGCTTCCCTGTTACATGGCCATCTTCCTTGTGCACCAAGCCACACACCCCATCTAGGGTATATTATATTTGAAAAGTATTTTTCTAATAACAAAACAAATTACACTGTGAGATTCTTTTTCAAGAATTTTTTCCAAGAGTTTCATTTGTATTAGTGACTGAAAAGAAGGTCCACATGGATGGCTCAAATTTGGGGCTGATTGTTGCTGAATCAGACAAAATTCTCACTTTGGATGGTCCTGCAAGCACCACCACATTTGTCAAAAGTAAATTTAAAATCAGATGCTGTCACTGTTGGCAGTATCATTGTATTCAGGCAGCCATGAGTGCTGTGAATGCTGTGTGCTGTGCTCCTTGCACTGCAGCACAACTGTGCTATGTCTCTACTGTACAAAAGGTTGATACCACGTCAAAATTGGGCACTTATAGTGCTGATTTATTAAAAGTAGATATACTCATGTAAGTTAGAGTAACACAGACGAAATACCCTACACCAGGGATCAACAGCGGGTGTACAACATCATAGGCCACTGGCCTCATCCTACAAGCGTTTCGTCTGGTGCAATGGATGTCTTCAGAGGATGAAGATGTCCATTGCACCATGTTGTGAAACTACTGTTTTATCATTTATTTGATGCACCTTAGAGTAATTATTTCTGTAATTCCATTGTGTTTGAAATATAGGTTGCTGCATTACCTCTTGTTGCACTAAGCGCACAATTGTATCTGCGTTTATAACAAAATAATTAACTATGTATTATTGAATACAGAGCTGCATCATATCTGCCTAAAGCCCAGCATTAATTTTAAAAATTACTTTTTTTTTTAACTTGTTTTTTAGTTGAAAAACTGCTTAGCATGGCCTAGTATGTATGGTCATGTACAGTGTTTACCTTCTCCAGTGCTCTGTATGTTGTCACAAGGGTTTGGACTTTTCATGATATTGCCTTGCAACAATGATTTTTTTTTTCACAGTCCTTAGACAATAAAATGAAACAAAACTAAAACAAATGAGTCTTTCTTTATTTGAGCAGTTTTAGTTTAAATATAAATAGTGTTGCTGCACATAAAATGACACTAAAAGTATGATTCTGCTACAAAGCATTGGAAAGTTATTTACACATTAAAGTGTTTCTTTTCAATTGTGCACTTTTTTAAATTGGGAAATGTGTAAATATATGTTAAATGTGTAAAATATTAACAAACAAACAAAAAAGTTTAAATATAATTAATAAGTAATAAAAAAACAGACACAAAAATCAGCAGGAAGACAAAGTACAAGAGAGAAGTATAATAAGGGGTTAATTAGGACTGATTGGAATAAACAAAGGGTTAATAAGAGGTTAAACAGAGGAACATTATATTTAAAAAAATATATACTTTTTTTTAATTGACATCATTTGCAGATCTACATTCATCCATTTGATCTGCAGATGAATGAACAGAAAAAAAGAAATGTGACAATATGTCACTGTGTATCTTTGTATGATCGCTGTCTGGAGCAGTGTTGTTCATAAACACAGATTAAAGTGTTACTAAACCCACAACAGTAAAATCAGGCTGTATATGCAGTAAAGCATGTGTGTTATGCTCACTGTGGAACCTAAGGGGTTAATCCGCTGCATTGTGTAAAAAGGCTGTTTGATCCTTTCTTCTCTGTTCCTCCCCTTTTTCCACAAGTGACCACCATCTTCAGACTGAACTGTAGGCATGCACATGCTCAGTTTGGTGTATATTGCTAGAGAGGTTTGTTTTCTTGGGAGACTGCATGTGATCAGCACAGGGCCAATCAGCACTGTCCAGATAGAGGTCATGGGATTTCCATCCTCTTAGAGCAGAAAGAAAACTCATCCTACAAGCTTTAGCTAGTGCTGGGCTGGGCACTGATAGAAGTCACAAGGCTGCTCTAACTGCTGATGAGAAATGGTATTTAGCCGTTTATATTTACTGAGATAATTGCACTTCCATGTTCTGTGTACTATGGAGAACAGATATAGTGGATGCAGGGTCCTGGGTTTAGTAACACTTTAAGCCTACATTCACACAGATATCTGCATTTCAGAATTTAGCTGCATTTGGAAGACTTTTCTAAAAGCAGCTGGACTCACACAGTGCAAAGTAAGCATGTTATTCAAACATCATGATTGGCAACAACTTAGCTGCAGACAGTTTAGCTGCATTTAGGAAAAGAAGGAAAGTGCTGTGTCCAGGGTTGACTATCTGCAGCTAAATGCATATTATGTTTAGCTGCTGATAGGTGCAGTGTTTTTAGTAGCAGGTTCCCAATCATTCTCAATGTTGGCATTTGTTCTTTGAGGCGTAGTCTAATGATATTTAGTAAGCTGTTAAAGGTGGACACTGACATTCTATTAAAGTTGTAAAATGTATTGAGATCTAGTTCTGATTTCCTCATATCTTAGAACAAAGTATCCCCTAATTAGATGTTGGGATGTTAGGGGATGTACCCATTTTTGCTTCTTTTGGCTCTCTCCCTGCCTCCCTAGCTGCCTCAGAGCCAGCTCACACCAGAATGCAGTGTGAAAAAAGGCATGTTCTGTGTGCGTTTCCCACACTGCAGGTGACTGCACTGCCCTTGCCATCTGCTTGTGGGTGCCAATTAATTGGTAACAGCACCCCAAATGCAGACCGCAATACAGTGTGTTTGGAGGCATCAAATTGCATGGTACCACAGTACCATGTAGTCTAATGCGGTGTATTTTTAAAAGTAGTGTCTTGTGTGTGAATTGGCCCTTAATCTTCTCCTCTCAAGTAGACACACAATGGTAAGAACCAGCTTTGCTATGCGCTTCCTTTCCATTACACAGATCTATCTCCTTGCTCAAAAAACTACGAAAAAAAGTGGAAAAGAAGGTGCATGGGGTATAATATCCCCCTTGAATGGGGTTTTGAGAAAAAAAAGTCTAAAACACTGATGCACCTAAACTCAACTATCTGCAGCTAAACACAGATAAACTCATTTACAAACTGCAGCTATCTGCAGGAAATATTGTTTTCAAGTGCAGATCATTGGCATTTAACTGCTTACACACACATGTTCTTGTGAATGTAGCCTCAGACAGCTTTTTTGACAGCTAGAGCTGCTGACTTATTTTCTATGTATATTGTAATGCTGGCTTTAATTGATTATAGCTGAACATTACAGTATACTGGCAGGGGGGTCCCAGAAACAGAGCAAAGAGACTGGACATGCTACTCACGCCTTATGTACAATAATTAAATTTTTTTTGAGCGTGTGTAGCATGCCCAAAGTCTGCATCTAGTTAAATATGTACAGGCTATAGAGTTTACAGAAAACGGTATTACATACAACATCTAGTGATCAATTCTGTAGGTAAAAACATATTTTTAATGATAGATGAGAGGGTAAAGTTGCAAGTTTTATAGGAATATAATGGGTTTTGGTACTTTTTTCTTTAAAGTACCTAACTTATTTTTAGAATTGTCATGTAAATCTCACTTTCAAAAATATACATTGGATATAAAGTGCACCTATTATATTTAGTCTGCAATACCTCCTGGGCTTTCAAATAAAAAAGCTTCTCTGAATGCAAACTTGTTCAGTGTCTCCCTGTCTAACTTACTAATCCAGACAGGTCCATCTCTGCTAGTAGAATGGAGACTTTCTACCTCCTGCGAGTCCTTTAGCTTTATGTTTGTAAACGGATTATTTGTAATTCACGTCCATTCACGATATCAGCTATCAAGACTATGTACAAGTTCAAGTTTACCATCTAGTGGCTGCAAGTAATAAATATAAAATATGTACATATACTTGACTAAAAAAAAAGTTAACATTTAAAAAAAAATATATTTCAAAATGTAAACATAATGCATTAATAAATAAAAAACACACATTTCCTTTGGGGGGGCTGCAATTGTTCAAATAAATCCTCCTTTTAACAAGGGTGTGAAACACATCAAACATTAAATAGGATGTGCTGTAGCAAGAGAAAACAAGCACTGGATGCTGTTCCTACAGGTAATACCAGAAAAATGAAACTATGTTGGGTATAGGATCACCAACATTGGATGAATGAAGACTGCTACGTGCAGATGGTAGGGTCAGACTCTGGCATGCACAGAATTAAACCTTTATTATGAGCTGAAACTGGGGGTTTACAACATGTATGTATGACCAACAAATGTGCCGGACCTTCAGAATCCTTCCAGTTAACATGAGCTAAAATTTTTAAAGTATATCTCTATCACCTTGCTAAGCCCACCAAAAAAAAACAAAAAAAATTAGACTGCCCTAAATATGAATAGAAGACCAACTCAATACTAAAGAGGTGACCTTAAAAAAGTGGCTGCTAAGTGAAAACTTAATAAATTAAGAATAACTGTACTGAACATTTATTTTAGTTATCTTTACTGCCAAATCCTATCCCCATCCCTGCTTGTCTGAGGTCTTCCTTTCGAGGAGCAAGAACAGGTAAGTGTAACACTTAAGAGATTGCTGAGGGTGGGGGTCATATAAAGGATAACTGTGCTAATAGTACAGTTATCCTTTGATGCAAATAGGTATACTTTTTGTACTCATGAATTCATCATTTAAAATATCACAATTTAATTCTGTTTTAAATATTCTGAATGGGGATACAAAACTGAATTTTCATAGAATCATAGAAGTGACAAGCATTGCTTTCTAAACAAAAGAAAAAGTGAGAACAGACTAGAATATATTATGTTGAACATTCTCTTGGATACTGAGAAAAACACAAAGGGATTTATAGTTAAATGTTTTCACACAAGAATAATGCAACTTTCACCCAAAATGTATTTATTTTTCTAATTGGATTAATTTGTAAAATGTGTGAATCCTGAGCAAATCTGTGAAAAACTTATAAAATGTTGAAGAGAACATTACATATTTGAACAGTGGACATTTAGAAAAGAACTCTTTCATATGAGCATGTTTTTCTGTTGAAGATGGGTTGGATTGAAGGCTAACAACAAAGATCCCTTAGTTGTTACTGTTTTTTGTGCAGTCTAATAAAAAAAAAATTAGATGGTGGGCTTTTCTTTCACAACAATTTTGTTTAACTTTTATAGACATATGCACATAAGGTGCAATGTATGAGCAACCTTTGTGCTACAAGAAGACACATTACTATATAAACTCATGGGCAAATACACAGAAAAAACATAGTCTGTTACTGGTAGACTGGTCTCAAATACTAAATAGTTCCACAAGTAGGTAAATGGTAGGCAGGAGGTTGAGATACTGATTGAGTACAGCAAGGGAAAAATGTCCAGGCAGTTGTGTCCACTCCATAATTTCCCTATTTGATCAAGAGTACTTGAGGTCAAAACTTTTCCAAGCAATGGGACAATGTTTTAATACTTTTTGAATGGGTATCATTTAGAATAGAAGTGAGTTTTTCATGAACCATGGTACCCATGATCTGCTGCTTCACCTCCTTGAAGTTCAAGGTAGGATGCCTCCAGGCTCTAGCATTGATTTGACATGTGTCTAAGAAAAAAAATATTAATTTCCTCTCAGACCTGGTAAGATCAGCTTGTTAAGTAATGCTTCCCAGAGGTTACAAGCTACATGTTTGTGGAGGAAGGTTTGGATAAAATTGTATACTCTTATCCACAGTCTATGGACCTTGGGGCATTGCCACCAAATATAGTACAGCATTCCTGAGGTCCCACACCCTCAAAAGCAGAGAGGAGAGACTGAAGCAGTAAATTTTGCTATTCACTCTGGGGTTGAGATAGTGGGAGTTTCAATAATTTTAAACTGTATCCAAACAACTAGAAATTTTAAATAGTATAGCCTACTGGTAGTTACATGGGGTGGCTGCATTTGTTTTTTCAGACTATTTCCCTTTGTTTTCACTTGGTAATCCTGCAAACACATATTCTTGTCCCTGTGTAGCTATGTTTGCTCTTCCACTGTATCTATTGAAGGAGCCATGGATGTTAGCCAGACTGGCCTTTAAACACTTCTGCCATTATTAATTTCCATTACATGAAGGATCATGGGTTTAGCAGTTTAAAGAGCAATGCTAGAATAGTTTTTTTTTAAGCAACTCACAGAAAGTGACAAAGACACTGCCTTTCTGGAAAGATCAACAGGTAATTTCTGTATATGTTGAAAATGTTCTTAGACTAAAAAACAAATGCAGGCAGCACATCTAAGAAATGGTAAACTGCAGTACATTACATTGGGTTCTTGGGTTTCATTATCCTTTAATGCCTTTCTTGCCCCTTCCCTCTAGTGTCTCCTGGAATCCCCCAGTGCCCCCAGCCCCCTTACTACTTACCTGAGCTCCATTGAAATCCCGCGATGTGCACGACAGCCTAGGCTGTCCTGGTTCTTTACCTCCTCATTGGCTGAGACAGCAAGTGGGAGCCATTGGCTCCCACTGCTGTCAATCACATCTAATCAGCCAATGAGGAGAGAGAGGGGGTGGGGCTGCTATGGAGGCACCCACTGCTCCATGTGTGAATGGACACATGGAGCAATGGGTGCCCCCATAGCAAGCAGGAGACCCAAGAAGAGGAGGATCCATGCTGCTCTGTGCAAAACCACTGTACAGAGCAGGTAAGTATAGACATGTTTGTTATGTTACAAAAAGAAAAATTAACCTTTAGTATTGCTTTAATCCACCTCCTCAATGCTTACAGAAATCCTATGTTCCAAATGGGCACACAAAGCTACCTTACTATCTATAATCATGAAAAAAACTAATTGTGATATACAGTACATAAAAATAGAAACATAAATAAAAAGTTCAGCGAACAGTGTATGTGCTTTGTGACAACTCAAATATCAACAAATAGTACCAAATAAGGTGCTCCAGAAAAGTGCTCTCAGGTTGGGATTCATCCAATGGGGTACCCAGGAGGGAAATAAACCACAGTCACAAGACATCTTTGACTCCTTGTACTAACAAGTGAGTCAATAAGGCATGTTTCTTA